AGGTATATGATTTAGAAGTTGCCTTTCTCGTGGAGATTCCATCTTTGTACAAATATTGCACTAAATTGTCTGTACCTGTCAAGGGACCTAAAAGGTGTTGCAAAGTCCAGAGGGACATTTGTGTCCCATATAATATGTAACAAAATCTGTATTTCCTAACAAAGCTTCAAAAATGTTCCAGGAATCAGCATACATTTCATTATGAATACACATAATATCAACCAAAAAGTCATCATGGAAAATTAGTCATGAAAGGGTTAAAATACAATATTAACTATACAATGTGGGATTGAAAATTGACTTACATAATTTCATTAAATATAAGGCTTACAGTTCATTAGTAAATGATTGTTAAAAAGAAAAAATGAAACAAAACCAAGAAATGAAATAACTTTCCTTTTTCCAGTCAGAACCATGAGCTTCCTCACACTACCTGATAAAAGACAACGATTACAAATGCAAAGAATTTAGGTTGGATATCTCTCCATTAGATTTCTTTTTTAACTCAAAGGTCAGAATAGTTTGGATTCCATATAGCTCTATTTCATAGTCTTTCCAAAAGTAGACAGATTCACTATTGTATACAATTTTGCAATTAAGCTTTTGTTAAATCTCACCAAAATAGGTACCTTTTAGCAGCAGATGAAAATGTTTCTTTACTTGCGATTGAGACAGAGTTGATGTGACTTGGTTTTCTGTTTCCACCACTGCCATTGGTTATACAGGACATAGACATACCTTCTCGAAGGCCTAAAGATGGTTAGAGGGGGGAAAAAATCCTCCATATCAAATTTCAAAAAATATTTCTCCAAAACTGTCATTCTGAAATTGGTGTTTAGGATTAGTAGTAAGAGTTGGCCACTGTGGTGCCCACATACAATATCACCTCAAGATTTGAACTTATCAAAACCGAACTTCAGCAAAATTCTCGGAGTCGTTACATTGCAGCAACCTAATTTTCTAACCAAACGGTTTGTCCTCCACACATTATCAAGCTTCAGTGCATAAGATTTGAAATTCTCAAGTAAACCATAGCCCCTGCATCATGGATCTTCCGATATAGCTCGATATTGTTATCACATAAAAATAAAGTATAACTGTATAGTCTGACTTCTTAATTATATACATAGAAGAGTTCTATTAAATGAGCAATGGTATACTGGTGTGTCATTAAGACGCCAAGTCACAATACAGTCATATCTCCTAAAGGTAAAATTTATTTAAAGTTTTGGGTATAGTGAATATTTTTA